GATTCTCTGCCATTATTCATATCTTTCGATCTCTCCTTTTCTTCTTTCTCTTTTGACGGACGTGATTGATTTGGTACGATAAGACTTTCTCACGAACCAAGATCTTATCGTAAAAACAACGAAAATTCCAATCTTTAAATTTTATAATTTTATTTTTGGTTAATATTGTACTATTGTTACAAAATAATAATTTGGTTCGAACATTAAATTCAGTGGCGGACCCACGTTGAGAGAGAGTGTGGGTCAGCTGACCTGCCCTATAAAAATATAAAGTATAATAATTACCCTGTGTGTATAAATTTTCAGCAGCTCAAATGGTTTAAGTCTATTTATTTGACTTCCCTAACCTGAGTTCAAATCTTCCATTTGCATATAGTTTTAGCTTTAGTCTATTTTTGACCTAGGCAATTTTTTTTCCTAGGTCCACCACTGATTAAATTGCAATATTTGCTTTCAATTATTATATATTTGGTCTAAAACTTAAGATTCTATAGTTTTTAAAATTGATATAAAAGAGTAAAATTTATAACCTTATGGTTAGATTTCACTATTTAGGTGAGTTCTTATTTATTGTATTATCGATTATGATATAACAAATATAAAAAACCAACAAAAAAACGCAAATAACAAACACATAGTATATATGCTAATCACCAACAATGTGTCGACTATATTAACGATTAAATGAGACTAGTTTATCATTGACGGCATAAGTTCAAAATAGATCAGAAAATTAGGATATAAACAAAACTATAAAACTTTATGTTTATCCGAATAAACATAGCCCTAGAAATTGGCTCGACCAGCCAACTTATCCCAAATAAAAAGCCTAGGCTGAAACTCTGATTCATATAGTTGAAATTCAAACATTCATATTTTATATTTTTAGTTTTTTTAAAACAATCAATTAAATTTCAAGAGGAAACGGAAGACAATGCTGTGAATGGAGAGCAGATAAATGATGGATCATTCACTTAGAAGATGATCCACTTTCAAATTCACCAAATTCTTAAAATTAAAGTAAAAAAGTGAAGAACCGCATAGTATACAAATTTTTTTGTCGTTATGCTAAAAAAGTGGTCGAACCACACTAGTAAGATCATACACATCAATTTGGAGGACAAGATGCAGTCCTTATTTTAAAATTAATAAAGAATTAAAATCCTCAAATGCTTAAAATTAAAATGCTTAAAAATGATAATCTCACTACACTTATAGTATATATCGTTATACAATATTTTACTTTACATGTTATGTGCTAACTACATTTATTCCGTTTCTTTTTAACCAAATTAGTTTAAAAGAAAAATTATATTAATGCTTTAACATCAAATCTAAAAATTGATAATATTGATAAAGTACAAAGTTTAGCAAAATAGCAATTTTAAATAAAAAAATATCCATAAATTATAATATTGGATATTTGATTATAAACAAGAAAATAGCTAAAATTTGTTTTTGATGTTTTTCAGTGTAATACATATATTTTTTCTGAAGTA